AACATCTTAAACGACTATCATATTCCAATCATTAGAGTAACAATTTTGTCGCTTTTAATAGTCGATGACTTAATAAAGTAACATTCTATAGTTAGAGAACCATTTTATAACTTTTTTTTTGCAACAATGGCAATTGAATTTCATTAACAAAAATGAAGGAATCAAAATTACACTGCATTCAAAGAAAAAATCGGAGACAATTGTTACCAAAATATCATAAATAAAATAAGAATATTAAACACAAAGATACGAAGAGATTGAAACTTCCAAACATCAAAACAATCTAGTAATATTCATAAAACTTTTTGTCTTTATTGAACGAGACGTTTTACAATGTGATAAAAGAGTGGTGAACGAACCAAACAATTTAACAAAATATTTGCTACACAAGTTTGATTATATCGGCAAACCACCATTTACAAAAGAGGAGATCTGACAATACGTGACTACCGACAAACCAATCAGAAAAAAAATACCGTGAGGATCTTTATGTAAACACCAACACGACCACAAAAGTATGCGAAAAACTTACTGAAAACCATAAAGAACGTGCCACAAGAGCAGAGAAAAACGTGTCACAAGAACAGAGAAAAACGAATCACAAAGACAAATATTCTTATTTAAAAATAAAAAAACTAAGAAAAGATAAAGACATAATATGAAAAAAGAAAAGAAAAATAACAACCACCTACATTCAACAACCAATATTAAAATTAATGTTATCTCCGATTAAACAAAAAAAAATCACACAAAAAAATTAAGAAAAAAATTAGGTTTCTTCAATCTATAACATTTAATAGTTAAATAATTTAATAAAATAATATTTTATAGTCAATATCATTGGTATACTTTTCCTTAAAACATCAATGAAAGAAAATTGACCCATACTTTAATCACCCTTTCATATAGTTTACCCAATAATTGAAGCATTTTTTTTGGGGATTAATCCTCTTCAATATCACTCTCACTACCTATTCAAATGGATCTAAATTTTCTCACTTCCTGTCCTTTCATCTCCGAAGATTCATAGATTGTCTACTCCTAAATAAACCCTCTTCTTTTCATCAGATTGCGAAAAGGCTTTAAGAGTCTAATTTTGTTTCTTCAAAATCACCAGCTTCAGCCATGAATTCACTTAAACTCCTTTCGATTTTCCTCATATCAGCCATTTTCCGTTTGGGTTTAATCCTGTATGGTGAATGGCAAGATGCCCATATGGAAGTTAGATTCACAGATGTGGATTACATTGTTTTTCCGATGCTGCTTCTTTAATGGCTTCTGGCCAGTCTCCTATAAACGAACCACTTACCGTTATTCACCTTACTTGCATTTCTGTTGATCCCCAACTCTTTTATTTCCCGTTCTTGGGGCAAGTTTCTCTTCTCAGCTTCAGGTATTTTCAGCTTCCACCATCATTTGTAGTATATCAAAATTTACCCATTTTAGAATTAAGTTTCTTGCTTTTGCACTTTGGGAACTTCTTGTTGCAGATTCTGCCTTTTCTTTAGATAAAAACCATGTCTGAATTTCATTGTGCGTTTTGGTTCTGATCCTCGTTTTGCAGATTTATTTGTTGGATTGTTTATCCGTATCATATTGAAGAAGCGTAAGGTGCCTGATCATCTATGCACGTATTCCATGTTGATATGGCTTTTCAACCCATTCACCTTCACAATTGGAACTCGGGAAACTGTGAACCTATTGTTTGTGCCATGATTTTGTGGATTATTATCTGTCTTATTAAAGGTATGCAGATTTGTTATTCCCCTTCAGGTTAAATATATATTCTTTAATGTATAGTTAATCAGAGACGAAGAAGATGAAACAAATGACTACTAGGTGTTCAACAAAATGTTTAGGAGAGAAATACTTAAGAGAACTTTGATACGTGGCAATCCATCAAAGAGATCAACACTACATACTACTACATTCATTGTAAACATTATTATTTGTATACAGCTGTGTCTAGCTCTGATAAGAAACAGAAAATGATAACTGAAAATGGTAACAGCGAAATTGAAAGGCTAACAAAGATACACTAAAAAGTTGCTGAATAGAAACTAAGTAACTGCGTTTGTTGTTGACTTTAACCACTGTGTTGACCATCAAGCCATGTCAGCCTGCTTATACTCTGATATGCTCCTTTTTGTTCTCATATGTATTAGTGTCCTATAGATGCCTCTAAAATTGGGTTCTGAAAGGATGTCTCTTAGGTAAAGGCTTACTTCTATATATTTTTGTTGTTAAGATTTGGTTTTCAAGGTTGAGTTTAATGCCAGTTATTTCTTGGGTGCCTGGCTTTCTGATATAATTATCACTCAGCTGGAAATGCTGGATCTGACTATAGGTTAAACCATCTTGAGGGAGCACGAGAGTGCCGAGAGATCCCTTCCATTTGCAGGTCTATCTAGGTTCTTCTTGATTAGCTTCTTACTACGTTGGGGTTGCTACAGTCAGTTAGTTAGGGCTAATCCAGCTTCTAGCCATTTTAACCTGCCAAATAAAACAACTTAAAAGCTTAAGTCCAACTTTATTTTTCAGCTGATATGAGAAAATTTATGAAGTTGTCAGTAATTAAAACATTGGTCCTGTAAGGGAGAGTCTTAACTGTATAATCTGCTCGTTGGGAAGTTTGGTGTTTAGAAAGGATGATATTGTTATTTGAGTTATATGTCTCTAATGCAACTCACTGTATGATTTTACTTTTAATGATCCAGCTCATCTTTTTAGAGAGTAAAAGACTTGCACTACTGGCTTAGTGGGAAGGATTTACAGTGGTAGCATTTAAACTGGATTGCCTACTTGATTTCAATATTAATCATTCAGAAAGTATCGAGTTAGGAACTGAATGGGAAAACTTTCATTACAGTAGTTTTTCATATGTTACATATCTAATATAAGTCTTACGTTTTTTCTGTCGATGCTCTGAATGGGAAAACTTTCATTACAATAGTTTTTCATATGTTACATATCTAATATAAGTCTTACGTTTTTTCTGTTGATGCTTGGGCATTGGGCACCGTGTTAAGAGTAGTTTTGTTGTTAACTTGATTAATTTTGGTTGGCTCTTTTGATTTCCTTCTTTCTTCTTGATAGGTAATGTTATACAAGCTGCATGTTGGTATGGTCTTATTGTTCACTTCAGAATTTATCCTATAATCTATGCCCTTCCCATCATCGTTTTTCTTGATCCACGCATTTTTCAATCTGGTGTGAAGCCATTATTATGTGATTGGACCTCTGATCAACTGAAGACTCGTCAAATTAATTCACAAGTGACTGATCAGTTTGATGCATGGACAGCAGTTAAAAGCATATTCACAAGGTCAAGAATTTTGTTTGGTCTTGTTTCAGGGAGTGTTTTCCTCCTTTGTACTGGTTTTTTCTTCCAATTATATGGATGGGAATTCCTACACGAGGCATTGCTCTATCATCTTACTCGCACGGATCCAAGACATAATTTTTCCATCTATTTCTACCATATCTATCTTAACTATGAACGCGATCTTTCAGTTCTGGAAAAGTCATCTCGTTTTTGCCTCAATTTATAGTGCAGCTGGTTCTTATTTTCTGTTTTGCAAAGGATCTTGTGTTCTGCTTCTTTGTACAGACAGTGGCATTTGTAGCATTCAATAAGGTATGCAAATTTAACATTCGTAGCTTCACTTTATGGACCTTGACATATTATGGTAAACATAAAAATCTACGATTTTGTATTTATTCTTGATTTACTTCTTGGATAGGTAATAACAGCACAGTACTTTGTATGGTTCTATTGCCTCTTGCCTCTTATTTTGCCATGGACCAATATGAAGCTTAAATGGAAAGGCCTGTGTTGCATTCTTTTGTGGATGGGAGCTCAAACCCACTGGTTGTTGTGGGGTTACTTGCTCGAGTTTAAAGGCAGGAATGTCTTCCTACAGCTCTGGGTGGCAGGCCTACTTTTTCTGGCTGCTAATGTTTTCATATTGATCCTGCTTATCCGGCACCATAACTACGCTCCAATATTTAGACAGCATGCAGGTTTAAAGACCACACGGAAAAAGCGTGACTGAGAAGACAAAGTTCTTGCAAGTTGCAACCATGTTGGAATTTGGGATTTCGTCTAATCAATCAACAATGGTTACAACATATGAGCGTTAATTTTTTTCCGGTGGTGATTTGCGGGCTTAGATTTCAGAATTTTTGGCATAGGGCTGAATCATATAGTAGGGATGAAACACTATTTTGATGTTTGATGGCTTTCATTTACTTATTTTTCTTACAGAAATTGAGGATCAGTAGTGGCTTAGTTATCGACATATTTGCTTGCTATTTTTTAAAAAAAATTTAAAAGTTTGTATCTGACGGAAGGAATACATAGAATTTTGTTAAACATGGAAGTAGGAGATACGGTGAAATGCTGGTTGAGCTACATGAAGGATTATTATCTTTTGGCTTGGCACAAACCTGAACAAAATAATAGTGTTTTGAGCGATGCTGTTCAAATCTTGGATACAAATTAATTATCATACAAGAAATGTTATAATAATGAATATAACAAAAAAATGCTATAAATATGCAAAATTATTAAAATGTGTATAACTATTTAACATCTTAAATAATTAATGAAATGAATTGTGAATCTTAAATAATTAAAATGAATTGAGGTCGTAGTTCTCTTTATAGATTTTGAAATTGAATGTGTGTATACTCACTCACTCTAAATAGATATTATATTATGATCGATATAAACTATTAAATAATAATAATAATAATAATACATTAAAAGGGCTCATGTCAGAAAGAATCCGCAAGGGAATACAGCTATCCAAAGAAACAAACACCTCCAAAAGTAACACGCAATTTAGTTTAGGTACTATGATGAATATGAAATAAAACATATACCGCGTCGTTTATCCCGTTCCAATTGTGTTATTCGCTCCATTTCTCTCAGACTCACTAGCACACACTCTTCCTCCTCACTTCAGCTGAGGGATTGTAAATTCCAATGGAAAATGTGAATATGGCGTTGGTTTCAGTTTCTCCCTCACCCTCAAAGTTTTATCTCTTAGGACACACTAATAATCCTATTTATAATCTGAAAGCCCCCACCAAAATCTTCATTTTTCCGACACCCAATACTGCCCCTCGTCGTTCCAGAGTCTCCTGCTCCGCCCACCCTACTCGTCCACGACGTCTCTCCCAAATTGTTATTTTTCTTCTCTCTCTCTCTCTCTCTCTCTTGTTTCTTATTTTAAAAGTTTATAATTTGATCTTTCGTTGTTCTTGTTAGTGCAGTTTTCGGGAAATCTGGAGATGAAAGGTTTGCCAGCATTTCTTCTTCAAGTAATCAACAAACTTCTTCCGTTGGAGTCGACCCTTATCCAACTGTGCCACCGCCGTCGTCTCAAATGTAATTCAATCCACCGTTTTCCTCCTATTATCTTTGGTTTCTAATTTCTGCTTTCGGAATTGGAGGAAAATGATCTAACTTTTTTGAACAAACATTTGATGTTACTTGAACGCTGAATTAGAAAGTAATAGTCTATATTAAAACTAATGTTGCATTTTAGTCATTTGTCTAGTTTTAATCTTTTTCTTCTTCTTGATAACTTTGTAATGAGCAAAAAGCAAGCGCGGCTATCAAACAGAGCCATATTTTTCATGTACAATGAAACACTGTTTTATTGTTGTTGTATATGAAACAACCATATATGAATTGATATCTAACTTTGATATTTACCCATTTTTTAATGATATAATTGTAGTTTTAATTGTTTACTTTTACTCTAAAGCACTAAAATTCAGAGTACTACGTAGCGCTGCATACTACAATGTGTTTTATATAGCTTGCGCTCATATACCAACACGAAGACATCATTGACGAGGTTTGACTCACTTAGCTAATTTAGTTATTGCTCATGCAAGAAGGCATCATGGAGACATCGAAGGGTTAATTACATCTCGAGACTCACGACTCACAATCATACCTATAGTACCCTTAATACTTAGGCCGGAATTCTAGAACTGCTGCATCGGAACTTACACCCTGCTAATTTACTCCTCGAGAGTACTTGAGGTATCTGCAGCCATTTACCAATTGAAGTGCCTTGGCACTAGCTGGGATATATCCTGATGTTTATAACAATAAGGTGATCGATATACTGGCAATACAAAAACATCCTTAAAGTCTCATATCTAACTTAACAACAAGCAAGAATACTTCCTTAGGGAACACGCAAAGGTGGAAGATTCTGCGGCTAAACATTTCCTTAGAGTTGAACTTTAACTCATAAAGGAACAATCACTTATTCTCATAAGGTCCTCATATGCCTCTAAACTTGCAACTCCAAAACCAAAGTAACATTTGTGCTAACAACTCCCTTTAGGTCGACTACCGAGTTTGACCGAAACCCTCGAAAATTTCTAAGGCGACTTTGCATATCCCACTAAAGCCCATTAATTAGGCACTTATATATTGAGGACATGATCCTCGAAACAAATACATTTCCTACTTAGTTCACTTGACACCACAAAAAAAACATGCACTTATTCCTACTGGAACAACATGAAAAACTATAGTAGCCGAAAACATACATGGCGTCTCATTTGCGACATCAATGTCTTGACCCTACCTCTATGTGATCTGACAAACTAGATCACACATAGTTGGATCGGGAGCTGGTCAATCCATTCCTCTTTTCTTCTATTTGAGCATAGAACTAGCAACTTTCTGGGTAGGCTCTCTAGTAAGCTGAGCTACTAGGATCGCTTCCCGAGTCAAACTGGAGCATCACCATCCAAACTAGGGTAATCCCTCACTAAATGTACCAAGGATCTGCATCCATAACAATTCCTAGAGTGCATAAAGCACTTTCCTCGATGATTTTTACTACAATGCTCGCACTCAGGGCCGTCTTGTAAATTTTGGTGGTCCTGTGCTATAACAATAAAATAGGCCTTTTAAAACTAAAATATTAGATATATAAAGAAGTTCACTAATATTTCAAAATTTGGTGATCCTATACCATAACAGTAAAATAAGTCTTGGACTTGAAAATTCTTGGGCCAAATATTCTAAATACACATACATACAAAAGGCTTAAAAATTTTTGGAAGCCCTTACAAAAATTGGGCCCTGTGCGGTTGGGCACCCCGCACAGGCCCAAAACCGACCCTGCTCGCACTCTTAATACCTCAAAACTCTATCAGAGCCTTTAAAACTCGTCACAAACGGTGAAGCCGGCGGTCTCCTACGAGACCCCACGTTAAACCCCTGACTCAACTGGAGTGACAAGGCTGACGTCATTCTGCTCATGTAGACCTCTGGCTCTCTCTTCCACTGACTGAGATATATCTACTGGTACACGAGTCCTACTCCTTGGGGTGTTTGACACACCCAACAAACTCTACCTCATACTCTTCTGGCCTCCACCATTTATCAATTTAATTTTACTGTGATATTTATTTTTTTATTTAATTTTCTAGTTTTCAAATGAATCATATATATATAAGCAAGCAAACGTCAGATTGAGTAATCAATAGTAGAATTGAAAGGTTCGGAATATAGTTGGAACGGTAGCTGAAGATGTAATTAATAGTAGGGGACATGACGGATGCATTTGTCCCTAGGATCAAATGTATAACTATTATCTTAAATAAATTATTAAATATAATTTAATATATTAAAAAAAAAGAAAATCTTATATACCTGTTTTATTGAAAAAAAAAAGAATACTAAAATTTATGAACCTCTATTTTTTATTTTTTAATCCATTATTGGTGAAGGAAAGTTGTACTTATAGAATTGACCAAGGAAGGGGCGGGTGAGGTAATTGTACTTTAAAAATTTAAAATTATCATATATTTTAAATTTTTTATGTATTTTTATTAAAAATTTTATTTTCTGTTAAAGTTTATTCCCCTAACATCAAATCATGCCTACGTAGTCTTACCCTTATGTAGATTTATGCGGTTACAAAACCATGTACGTCGTCATTCTTATAAACCCCTTTCTTTCTTTTCCCCCGAACACTTTGGAAACTATAAATAAACTAAAATCTACAATAGGAGAGCAACGGAAGTAATTCGAATGGAAGGGCTATGTGAACGCGTTAGAAAAGGTGCATGGACCGAAGAAGAAGACATTCTTCTTAAGAAATGCATTGAGAAATGTGGCGAAGGAAAATGGCATCTAGTGCCTTTCAGAGCAGGTAAACTCATCCAGTTTTTAAACAAAAGTTGATTTGGTTTGGTGAAGACATGAGCTGGAAAGGGTTAAATTGCAGGGTTGAATCATTGCCGGAAAATCTGTAGAATGAGGTGGTTGAATTACCTGAAGCCTAACATCAAGAGAGGAGTTTTTGCAGCTGATGAAGTTGACCTCATCATTCGCCTCCATAACCTCCTTGGTAACAGGTAAGAGCTTCATAGCGTGCTGATGATTTTTTATATATACACTGAAATTTACATGTTCCTTAAAGTTACCATAATAATCATTTTAATGGAATTTTAAATTTTAATTTTCCATCATCGATGAGTTGAAAAGTATTTTGAATCTAAAGTGTGCTCACAATAGTAAAAAGGTATGCTATCGCAATAGCATGATATCAACAATCATCGTCTATTATGTCTATAATCGCGATAAATTCAATCGAAATCATGACTATAACCACAATTTAAATCTTTGGGTAATGTATCCTCTCTACAGTGTCAAATTTAAAAAAAAAATTATCGGAATGAGTTCAAATACCATAGATGGCAGAGATGTTAGTGTTTGTATTTTAATTTTTTAAATATGAGATGGGCCATGTTCTTAGCCTAGATACGCCCTTGTCTCTCTAAATAATTCAAGTTCAAATATTAATATTTATAAAATATAAATAAATTTACTTAAAATTAAGATAAATAAATTCAAGTTCAACTTAAGCCTATTGACATGAAGATTCAATGAAATGAATTTTTTCAACTTAAGCCTATTTTTAAATTTAAAAATCTTTCGTTCGTCGTTACTTTTAGCATCAAGATTCAATGACATGAATTTTTTCAACAAAACATAATAATTATAAATATAATCATATTAATTATTTATAAGAGAAGTTATTTGTTAGTTGAATTTATTGGGACACAAGTTTAAATCATATAAACAGTGACAGAAGTGGGGATACCACAACGCCACTTAAGATTAAGTAGCTGAATTTCCTCCCTGCTTTTTTAGCTTTATTCATTAACATTTAGGGCCATATGATTAGGTTAGGTTATGTCTGGTTTTTCAGGGAACCCAAACTCCAAGACTGCTACGGTTATGTTTTTTTATGGAATTTGAAGTCACTAAGTTTATCTTATATAAATTATTATTTTTAGATTTGAAAATCTGTAAATCACACAATCCCCTTAAATCCTTTGAATATAAAAACGTGTATTATAATTACAAATAAGAAACTCAAATATAATAAGATAAAAATGAAATTTAATAGGTATATCTTAAAACCAATTAAATTAGAGGATTATGAAACATGGAAGAAAGAAGAAAACTTGATGCAACATAAACCCAAGCACACGTGAGTTGGGGACATCATTTTGCGATGGTATATGATTTGGCAAGATGTTGTGACAGTTGATCCAAACAACATGGGATGAAAAAGGATGGCTCTTGGTCCCGTAACCCAACACGCAAACCACGACATAATCGTTCTCATTTCACGTGTGATTGGTAAAATTACTAAAACATGAATTTTAACAAAGGTAAAATTACACCAAATACTTAATTGTATCTCGCGTCTCGAAATTGTAATTCTTGTTTTAAATTGATTCTTAGATTTTTGAATGTTTTCATTTCATCCTTATATCCATTTTATCTCATTCTCAATTGGTTCCAAACTTTTAAACATTCTATTTATACCTCCAAGCTATGAACCCCATTCTAAATTAATTCCTAAACTTTTGATTATTTCAATTCATTCTCGAGTTTTTGAATGATTATGGGGGACTTTGTTGGAATATCAAAGATTGAGAACCGGTTTAGAGTGAGGGTCGTAGCTTGGGATGAATTTGGAATGTTCAAAAGGTTGGGATCAATTTAAAATGAGAGTTATAATTTAAGGATGTGAAGTGCAATTAACTCAATTACACAAGATATTATAAAATTGTAGATTTTTAGTTTTGTTAACATTTTAGGTAAATTTGTTAATATTTTCAATTATATAAATTTGAATAGTGATTTGTGTTATTTCTAAAGTTGGAACAAGATTTTTTTTATTAGTATGGAGTGATTACAGAGTAGCATGTGTTTAAAAGTTTCTTAATCATCTAACAATGGACGCTCAAACATCACTGTAAATGCCGTGTTCGAATTCAAGACCTCTAGAATTATAATGTTTAAAAGTATGTTAATCATCTATGTAATCTAATAACAATGTATATATTTTTTTCTTAAAGTAATATTTTTTCTAAATTTCTTACCCAAGAAATATTGCCTATTTCCGGAAGCAAAAGAAAACAACAATAAAATTTTAGAAGATGGAAAAATTATTTACATGCATTTTCATTTGATATATTAATTTTAATTGTAATATTATAATTTTCTTAACTCCAAAATATCCTACCCCATATCATATAATCTAACTGTTACAAACCTTGAAAAAGACTTGAAGGCCAACTCAACACTTGAATGGAAAAAAAAGTTAACAC